AGCAGGAAACAATCGACCTTTGTGGCCAGTGAAAAAGGGAAAACCAGCTATGCTGGTACAGCCAAGAAATGTTTTAAGCCTGGGAAAAGGATGAGGGGGAATCACATGCTGTTTCTTCCAACACGTAGTCACACTTTTTACAACAAGCTCCCTTTTCCAGAGCCACAAAATCTGCTTTAACGTATTTTATAGCGACACAAGTTTAGAATGGGTTTTTGGCCTTCAGGTTGTCTCAATCTCTCAGCAAGCCGAATGCCAGCCGAAGCCACGGCGCGCGCGGGCGGCGCCCGGAAGAAGCAGCAGCCTGCGCGAGCGGCCGTGCCGGTCAACCCGCACGGGCTGCAGTCTCGCGCCAGCGTTACAGGCTCTTTTTAAGCCCTCCAGCTTTTTTCCACTGGAAAAAGAGCACAGTGCTCCGTCTCATCTCCCCCGCCCTTGAAAGGAAAGAGAGAATTGTCGTTACTTGCCCTTTGCAATGGTTCCGGTTAGAAAGCCCAGTAAGGCCTACATTTTATTTCAGAACTGATCTTTCATTTGAGTAGTGCTCATTCGGTTACTTAATTCCTATTCCAATGAACCTCAAATTTTAGAGCCAACGCGCTATGTCTCAGCGCAGAGGAGAAAATTACGTAGGTGTGAACGTATAGACAAGGGCAGGCTCAACCCAGGGACGCGCGGGCGGCGCTCAGCGGGTGCGCTCGGTCCCGGCTCTGGGGAGGCCCGCGGCACGCCTCAGCTGAAGGCTGTCGTCATTGCCGCTGTCGGTCCCCTCCGATGGCTCTCACTGAGGTCGGGAGGTCGTGGATCTCCTCGCCGCAGTGCAGCAGCTCCTCTGCGAGGCCCTTATCGAGCTCGGTGCTTCGCACCACCGCGTCGTCCAGCACCACCCGCTCGAAGCCTGGCTTGAAGAAGGAGTCCACCGCTGTGTCTGTTATCACGACAGAGCTGGGTTTGAGCCCTGTGAAACCAAAAATTGAGGCTAGGCCAGCGCTCGTGACACTAATGACCTGTCTTCAGCATGATGGAGAAACCTGTATAGGTATAAGTGCGGTGGTGATTTTTTTTTTTAATGAGTGAAATAGATGTCAGAGGCTAATTGAAGTTTATCTGCTAGTGGTTGCTTGGGAGCGGGACCCCGCGTCCTGCAGCCGCGGAGGAGGCCGCTGTGTTGCAGCCCCGGTGGCTGCCGTCCTGAAGGCTGCATGTCCCAGGCCAGCTGAGGGCATTTCACAGCACGCCAGTGCCTCCTAGTCATGTGGTTTCTGTTTGAAAAGGGGTATTAGGATGTTTCGATTTCAAGGGCACTGTTCACTGTGAAAATGTGCGTTCTGCTAAGCCAGCCACTGGAAATCGGCTGGGTTTTAACCCCAAATAAAATAGCATGTTGTTACTTGATGTTGGAGGACCTGACAAGATATAAAAGCTCATAATTACATGTCCTATTGCTGACAATTCTTCTTACTACTGGCCTTGTTGCCCGGAAGAACCAAGAAGTATATCTTACCCAAGCCTCCCGAAGTGCCAATGCGTATGACGGTAACGTCTCAGCATTTTGCTTGGTGCAGCAGTTTGATTAGCTCACGAAGCAGGATGGAACTGGAAGGAAAGCTCCTCCTTTGCTGTGGAGGGGAGAGAAAATGGGGGAAAAAAAAAAATCCTCATGACACGGCAAGAACTGGCACGTGACGACAGGCAGGAGCTCAGAATTACGCTGAGCTCTTCCCATGGAAGCCAAGAGGGATTTTAGGAGCCCTACCAGGGTCTTTACCGCCCACCTAGATGGACCAGGGAGGGATGGAGGAAGCCGGCGCTGCTGCCCCACGGGACGCGCTGGGTGCCGGCCGGGGCAGCGC